CTTACTCACATACACACACTGAGTGTCCTGCCCCAGCAGTCCTGTATGGTCAGAATTCACCTGTGGAAGAGATGAAAATACTGCCTCAGCAGCCATGGAGAAACAATGTGTGTGGAACAAGCAGCAGGGGGCAGCAGAGTGACACCTACAGCATCTCACCTCCGTTCCAGCGGTGGGTAGAGTAGCAACTCATACTCAAGTAAAACTATTGTTAATTAAATCATCATTTTTGTCCTGTGATGAAACATTCCTACGCTGATGAGAGTAGTCTCTTCCAGGATGGTCCCCATCCACAGAGCATGTCTGGACACTGAATGGTTTGATGAGTATGATAATTGCGTAAATAGTATGATCGGAATGCAGAGGCCACCTCAGTCATTGTTCCTATTGAAACACTAGTCTTGGACCGAAGCTCCTGCTGTCCTTGCCTCACTAGTGATCCCTTTAAAACCATGTAGATCTTTTCCACTTGATCATAATAATCCAACATCAAGCTCCACATTTTTTAAATTTGCCACAGAGCAATGTAGGATGTCAATTGTGTAATTGTATCATGCAGTACACCAGTCTGGAAGCATCTGCATTCATGTTCCCCCCACTCATTTATTTAGGTCTTCATTCCTACATGTAGTATTAGTTTCATTTAAAAATACTCAGAGAAGCACAATTAAATTTAAAAAAGAGTGAATGAGTAAATGTAACTAGTGACTATTCACTTCTGCCCAATACAGGGGCACAGAGAGGAAGAGACCAGCAAGAGATACTGCAGGAGAGACAGGTACACAAGCATGGACATGTTTTCTCTCATTGAGACCTTTTAATACATTTCTCATACACTTCAAACACAGTGGCACATTCTCAGATGTGTTTCATCTCAAACATACACGTTCATGTAAAACACACGTAAGTCTGCACTAATGTTTGTTCTCTAAATGAAGAAACAGATCAGTGTACGAGTTACAAAATAATTTGTGTATGTTGCCTGGTCTGCGATATGGTTTAAGGTTTTTACGCTCTGTATTGGTCACCTATCATACATTTTTATGGCTCACACTGTGTGGGCTAAATGAGCACACTTGCACATTTCCAGTAGTTTTTAGCCACAACATAACATAAAAAAGTCACAACATAAAAAAATCATCTCATATGCTTCACCTAATTTACCACATATGACGGCAACACAGATCCACCAAAGTCAAAAGAATAAATAGCTGTTGTGTGTTTGGAGCTGGTGTTCAATCTGGGCTGATTTCAATCATGCATTCACACTGTATGATTGTATACTATGATTGTAAAATAGCCAATTCACTTGTTCCAGCTTGAAATGATTTTTAATCCATAATCAAAAATGCACTTCTGAAATGAATGGCGATTTAAAATATTTTTAATGCCACCAGCAGATCTGCACTTTCCTTCTTTATTGTGCTAAACAGTCGTTTATGAGTTAGATCTGCTGGTTGCCTTCAAAAGATTTTTAATTTATTTGCAGTAAGGACATTTTTGATTATAGATTAAAGTTGGAGCAAGTAAAATGACCATTTTATGGTCATACAAGTACACAGTATACTACAGCTACGAATACAGTATGACAAGAATATGTGTAGGGAAAATGTAAACACTGTATTTGTGTCTTTTATGGTCATTTAATGTTTGGATCAGTGACATACAGTATAATTGAATACTGCAGTGACATGGCAAGTCGTGCTGTACAACCTGTAATGTGCGGCACCTCCAGCTCAATTTTAACCCATAGTTTCAGCGAAACAGCAGGGGGCTGTGTGAGCACTGATGAATTAAAGATTAATTGTATGTGTCTGTCTTCTCTGTTTGTAGTGTTTCCACAGTGTAAGAGAGGGAGGCTTCTTTTTGAGAGAATACCAGGACGGTGTGACGGACAAACGCGGCTCAGGTTTTCTGAACGCCTGCTTTAGTTTCATCTCACACATCCTGTCATACATTCTTCACACTGACATGTTCGCTATAACACCACCCTGAAGACCCTTTATTTCACTTGTCATATACTGTTCCATACACAGAGACACAAACCCACAGAGAACCCCCCCAAATACGTACTCAGGAAGATGTGTTTTCACTTACAAACCAACTGCATAATTTATTTTTTCATTGCATTTATTGAATTATAATTAAAAAACATAGCATTCACACTTCACATATGGTGAAACCTGTTTTTTTTAGGATGTTTGTTTAAGAACACCAAACAATATACCAGGAAAGTCAGCCTGTGGTCTAAATTTACGGTTCACCATAAAAGGCAAAGGCTTTCTCCTGTGACCTTTAACCCAAAGTGTGTGCTGTGATGTTGGACTGAATGTACACAGAAGCAGGTGTAAAACGTTTTCTCATTATAGAGCTAAAACATTGTGTTGGAGACAGGGGTGGGCATTTAAGTCACAGCAGCGAAGATGTGTAATGTGTAGTGTTTGGGCCATAGAGGGCTGTTCGTAGAGATGTGATGTGGAAATGATTAATTCAGTTACAGCTACAGATGATTAAGCTTTCACTTGGGTTTCATTGCATTTGTGACGCAAATTTAGGGTGATGATTCTCCTGTAACTGTAAAAATACCAGCTAAGCCAGGTTCACAAGAGTTCACTGAGGTATGTATTAGAAAGGTAACACTTTTGAAATTTACGGAGGGGGAAGGGAGCAGATTAATGTGTTAATCTGTCAGATTTTTAAATTTTGGGATATTTTGATTGAATTGATTATATTGAAAGACGTTTTCCTATAGTTTCTGTAGTCATTTCTAAAAGTGTTTTGCTGTCACTTAATGTATGTAAATGCTAAGAGTGTATAAATTGCAAGGCTAAGCAGATTTTATGAAAGATATGGATAAAAGATATAAAAGAAGTGGCCAACAAGCAAAACACAGCAGGAGCTATAAGTCCCATACGCATAAAGTTGGTTTCCACAACCGTTTTGTTCATTAATGCCAGTGGAAATTATGTGACCAAATATATATATAAACTGTGTTTTTACACACCACAATTCTCCAGTTGGTGAAATAAATGGTTTTGTTGCCTTAATGTACTATATATATATATATATATAAATATATGTGTGTGTGTGTGTGTGTGTGTGTGTGTGTATATATATATATATATATATATATATATATATATATATATATACAGCCTTTGTTGAAATAGCAGAGTCAGAACTATAGTGGCAGCTATAATTTTCACTGCAGGAAGAAAAAAAAATGTTTAAGAGGTTTAATGTTTAATGTTTATATGTGTAAGCATGACCTCACAGTTCCTCTGTATGTGACCCCTGGCACCCCTGGGGCGGATACACTGTTGTGGTGTGCACGGCTCAAAGGTGAGCTGGTACAGTAGTTTTTTATTTTATCAGACTTTTATTGCCTCTCTGTTGACTCAGATTCTCAGTTGAAGAACATCTCTTTTAGATTAGCATACAGAAGGTCAGTATGTGTGAGTTGACCTTGACCAACACTCCTATGTGATAAATAAGACATTGTATGGTATGTTTCTGTATATCGCTGTTGTCGGAAGAAAACCTTATATCTCCAAAATGGTAACTTTACAGGAGAAGGAAAAAAACCTACTTTACTTTTAATGTAAGTCAATGGAACCAGACATTTTTTCAGGAAATTTCGGGCCGTTTCTTTTAGTCCATTCATTATGAAATTTACACAAAATATAAAGGGCAACAGGTATCGTCAAATTATATCAAAAACCGAAAAACGACAAAAACGGAGATACGAGGTTTTCTTCCAACAACAGCGATATACTCGTATGGTAGATGCGCCATGATCCAATCACTCAAACTACCTTCGGTGGTGGTCAGGGACACATATGACCCGAAACATTTGTAGTGTGAACCCTAAAACATCCCAACAACAACGAAAGAAACTGTCTAATCAGTGGAGTCATTGAAGCAAAGATGATGATAAGTTGCATTAGTAGTCCATGCAATCCAAACGTGTGTAACAACGACCTCCAGTCGCCAAGTCCGATCAGAAGTGGTTATCTGAAAGAAGACATCTGAAAATGAAAGTGTTAATGGATATACATCTCTGTGTACAATGTTTATGGATAACAGTTTTTCATACAGCATCGGAAACCACATAATCAAGTCTATTAGAGATACTCCGCGAGTGTCTGATGATTAAGGCATGCAGATCACTGTATAATTGCTTTTAAACTGTATTGTTTTTTTCTATTTCTATATCCTGTCCAGTTGCACCCACTAGCTGGGTCTCCCCAATTGCATCATGCTCCGAGGCTGGAAGGGTGAAGACTAGTTCATGCTTCTTCTGAGACACGTGAAGATCCACTGCACCTTTTCAAACTGCTGCTAACACAACATCTCGGACAGCACAGCACACTTAGAGGAGAACGCTAACTGCTAATTCTTTCATGTCAGCTACCAGACGCCCACGTTGGCAAGCATGCTCTCAGTAATGTGGGCACAGTTATACTGTCTTGGATTATAATTGTAGTGTACGGCTGTGGCATCGGCAGGGATTGAACTCCCAACAGCAGGGCCATGTAGACATTGGTGCCACTCGGGAGCCCTTACTGAGTATGTTCTTTTGTTGCTTTCAATAATCAAACTTATTTTTTTAATCAAACCAAACCTGAATCATAAAGCAGAACGGGGAAATTACTGCATGTGGTTGCCATGCAGACCTAAAGCTTCTATATAAGCCACTCTGCCATTAAATTCCGCTTTAATGACGTGTTAATTGCGCTAGTTTGTGTCATTAAAAACTGATGGAGACCGTAAATATACATCTCTGTGTGGAAGCTGAAGCAGACACCTCTCGCTTTTTCTGTCTTTCTTTCTGTTTCATGGAGATGGATGGAGGAAAGGTAGCAGTTCATTTGCACTGCAGGTTCCTTATCAGTGTCGGGCAGAGACAGAGAGAGGGAAGAGAGGAGGAGGGAGAGAGGGAAAAAAGAGAGAGTGAGCGCTTATCACAGAAAGCCAGCAGTCCTTCTTTAGGCCCTCACTGGAATGAGCTGAGGGAAAAAAAACTCCTCCCGTGGGCATTACACGCACACATACTCCCTCTCTCTGGCTCTCTTCTTAATCTCTCTCTCCCCCTCTCTGTCCTTCTATCTCTCCCGGCTCATAGCCAGCCTGCATAAATGACCCCCACCACTCATCCATTCAGGGTGCGTTTACTGTCCCTGCTAACGACCCTCCCTGAACAAAAGCCCCTAACGCGGCTCTGTAGGATGGGGTAAGGGCAGAAAGGGCAGGCACAGGGGGCTATTTTGTGGTGGTGCGGCTGCTTAGTGTGGTCTGGTAAATAAACGCAGTCGTAATGGTGTAATAATGGCCACGCCATGCGCTCTCGCTCTTTTCTCTTTCTCTCTGTCTCCTTTACTTTCACATGGAGGGAGGGAGAGTGTGAGAAACATGCATGCTGTTCAAATCTGACCTTTTACGTTTTGCCTTTCTGCTCTGGTGCCAAAGCTATTCATTCTGCTCAAGACCCACCACATACAAACAAACCCGCACAGTTAAGTCCTCATCACTGGACACAGCTGGAGCAACTAACTGTTGTTCCCATGAGTTAAAGCCATGTTTCGGTTAGAAATCAGGTTTACTCAGTGGTACCTTTCCTTATGTATTACTTTACGTATTCATAATGTAATCGATGAGCCATGTTTGGTGTCTGAAATCATCTTCTTTAGTTTTAAATCATCACAAATTTGCCTCAAATTGCGTGGAGTTATCAAGCAATCTCAAGTAAGTAGTTTCTGACCACTACAAACATTCAAAATGCATTGTTATGTAAGATGAGTGGTTTGTAGGCTTTTTAAGGCAGTTAACAATACGAAAGCTCTTTGGCTGCCAGAAGAGGACGGGTTTGAGATTGTGCACACTTTATTGTGCATAAATATCGTACAGAACCCTGAGCTAGTGCTTCTGATGCCAGTTAGCAGAACATGACACAGTAGATAATGTCAAAATATGTAAATTTGTGATATAATTTGGGAGACATATTGGTTGTCCCTAGTGGAATAATGATACACCACGTGTGGGTATAAGGTGATGTGGGGTTAGACTGGTGAGTGTGGATAATATCTGGTGAGTGTGGGGTAAGATTGAATGAGTGTGTGTAGTATTGGGTGAGTGTGGTCTAAGATTGGGCAGAGATCAGGGTAGTTTTTTGGTGTGATGCTGGGTGAGGGTCAGCGAAACTTTGAGTGGAAGTGAGTGTGGTCTGGGCTAGTGGTGGATTTGGGTGGTAGGGGTTGGTGATTGTGGGTTAATATTGAGTAGAAGTGTGTGTGGACTGGGTCAGTGGTAGTTTTGGGTGTTAGGGTTTGGCCAGTGTAGGGTAAGATTGAATGTAAGTGAGTGTGGACTGGGCCAGCGGTAAGATTAGGTGAGTGTGGGATAAGATTAAGTGAGTGTGGGATAGGTTTGGGCAGAGGCTGGGGTAGTTTGGGTGAGTGTGGGGTTAGATTGGGTGAGTGTGGGGTATGAAGAGGCAGAGGCCGTAGTAGTTCTGGGTGAGGCTGGGGTAGTTTTGGATGAGTGAGGGGTAAAGAGGAGGTGTCGGAGGGGTTTTTAGTGTTTAGTAAAGGCTGTTAAAGTTCCCAGCTCTGAATGGCAGCTCTGCAGGTGCGACGTGTGTATGATGACTGTGTGTGTGTGTGTATGAGTGAATAGGCCCTGACGTGCCCCCTAGACTTTGCCTCCCCTCCGTTCTCCTTCTTAATCCCACCGTAATCCCATTATGCAAATCCCCCCAAAACGCACCAAGAGACTTTTCACACAGCCTCAAAAACAACACTCCAGCGCTTAGAGGAGAATCGCTTCAGCTAGACAGCCGCTTCAGATCTGAGAGCGGGCTGAACGAGGGAGACAGTCAGGGAGAGAGAGAGGGGGGATATTTTGGGGACCCCTGGGGGACCCCTCAGCCAAAGAATTTGTCAGCCCTCAGGCTTGTGTCTGTGTGTTTTTTTATGACAGTGTAATTTATGTGTGGCCTCTGGACATGCTAAACGAGATTACCACAGGGCTGACAAAACCCAGATTGTAAACTTGTCAGTGGGAATATGCTTCTTCACCACGTCTCGGCCAATCGGCAGCGCTTAGATTGTGATGTTACTGTTTCTGCTCAGTGCTCCGCTGACACAGCTCATAGCAGGTGGACGAGTAGCGAGTAAACGTATATAAACAGAAACTCTCTTGCATTAGACCTGAACAACCGAACAACACTGATTCGTCATGGCTTACAAGGAATGTTTGGTTTGAGCTAAAATGATAGCTTTGATAAATTTCATTCTGTTTTATTACAAATTATAAATACTATAAACTATAAATGCAAAATTTGGCCGATCTTTTTCTCTTTTTGCCTTCAAATGTCAAAAGCATTAATTCTGTATGAATGTTTGTATGTAAGTGGCCTTTAAATTGCAGCAGTGTCAGGTGTTTGAATTAAAACTGTATATTTGGTATTTTTATTAATAGCAGGTATAATGAGTGAAGTCGGCAGTGAACTGAATAGTGACCGATTTTTATTAGTCTTTTTCTTTTGTTTGGCCACCCAAAGCTCACACTGGGCTAAATGAACCCATGAAATGTGAAATGAAAAATCAGATGCCTATTTAAAACGGGATAAGATAAAGTGCTGCATTGAAAGTAAGAGGTGACTTGTTTAGCATAATGAGTCATTTATAAATGTGATATTATATTTTGTTGCAGGTGTAGCAGCGGCATTCAGATACAGCTTGACCTGTCTCATACCAATACCATACCATACCTCTTACCAATGAGTTAAAACAGTTTTAATGGCCAGGGTAACGTGTTAAAAGGGCTTTGACAGGTGTTGAGTATTTAAAGGGAATTATTGGCAGGTGTAAATAACTCCCTCTCTACTGCAGACTGCCAGCGTCACAGCATATACAATACAGCTGTAAAATACATAAGCCTCCACTCGTGTTGTCCTCCCCCCGTCCCTCACTCCCCTCCTTTCTCTCCTCCTCTCTTCTTCCCCTCCCTCTCCCTCTCCCTCTTATTCACTCCTTTCTGTGAGAGCATCTTGTGAGAGAGCTCAGAGAGGGGCTGAATCTTGGACTGAAAGGACACGCTGGACCGCAGTACTCTGACTAATCTTCTACTCTAGTGCTTTAACAGCAACTCTACTGCAGCTCCGCTTAACAAATATCATTGTTATCCTTCTTACGCATTCTGGAGGGATCACGCGTTTTCTGAATCAGGATACTCACAGGTAAGATTCTGTGGCATAATTTCTGGATTATTTTTTGCATACAATATTTACGATTGACCTCTTAAACTCTGAGGACCGGTGTGTACCAGTTTTACAGTAATTACTGCAGAATTGTTAACGGAATAAATTAAAATGTTTAATAACTGAATAATGACGAATATTTATTATTTTAAATGTTTGAAGTTAATCTCTTTCTTTTTTATCTTCTCAGCCTCAGCATCATGACCCGAAAAGTGTTCACCAACACGCGTGAGCGCTGGAGGCAGCACAATGTGAACACGGCGTTTGCGGAGCTGCGGAAGCTCATCCCGACGCATCCACCCGAGAAGAAGCTGAGCAAGAACGAGATCCTGCGGCTGGCCATGCGCTACATCACCTTTCTGGTCACGCTGCTGGAGAAGCAGCAGGGCGAAGGTGCCGCAGCAGCTCACTCTCCGGCCGCCCTGCTCACGCTTATCACAGGGAACATGCAGAACCTCCGCTCGGACCGGGCCTGGACCAGCGACTCTGACCCACAGTCTCCTGGCTCCAGCAGCGACAGCACAGAGTCCTGGTAGAACCTGCTGCTGCAGCAACATGGGAAATCAAGAACAGTTTTTACAGAGAAAATCCAGAATGTCTGCTGAAAATTACGCAGAGGGAATTTAGAACGACTGCTGTGATTTTACAGAGAGTCTAGAACATCTGTAATTTCACAGAATTTAGAGCGTCTGCTGTAATGTCACAGAGAGAATCTAGAACATCTGCTTAATTTTTCAGGAAAATCTTGGATGTTTGCTGTTTTTTCACAGAAAGAATCTGAAACCTCTGCGGTAATTTAACAAAGATCTAGAGCATCTGTCATTTCAGAGAATCTGGAATGTCTGCTTTAATTACGTGGAGAGAATCGAGTATTCCTGCTGTAGTTTTACTGAGATTGTAGGAACGTCTGATGTAATTTTACAAACGCTATCTATGGTTGTTGTGATTTCAAGGACGTAATCTGGAACGTCTGCTGTAATTTCACAGAAAAACTAGAACCTCTGCCTTGCAGGAAAACTAATGTGTGAGTAATCAAATATGAATCCAGATCTAACCCAGATTTTTCTAAAAACTAGGAATTAATTGAACCTGAGTAGCCATTGTTAAATTTTCATTACCAAACCCTCAATAACTGGAAACAACTGTGACCTAGATGGGCAGTGTCTATGACTACAGCCTCCACAGAAAAAGCATCTGAACTGAAATGGACACAGGTGCTGCTTTCCGCTTTTGAAACCGATAATGCTGGTGAAACAGAGGCTGTTAATTTGGTTTACTTTCAGAAGCTGAAAGAAAACCTCCGTGATTGCCGTGCAGAAGCTTCATACAGCATATGGGTTTGTTTGGATGACGTGGACATTGTTCCACTCAGGATTTGTCATTTTGTTTTTATGTTATTTATTAATTGTCTTTTTTTGGCATAATTTAAAAAATAAGAGCAGTAATAACTAAAAGGTCACCTTCCCTATTTTGGTCTTAAAGATATTACTGGCTTTTTATTTATTTCTTTATCAGATGGTCAGGACTGTATAACTGACAACACCTGTAAATTATTCTTTTTCTATTTAAATATTTGTTAACTTATTGAACACAGATGTTAATTTATTGATTGTTCAGCGAACATGAAACGTAGCCAAAGATTGTTAATATTTTTGTGCAAGCTGTAAGCTTTTGCATGGTAGAAGTGATGTATCACTCTGAGTTTTTGTCTTCCTTGGTATGTATTATTTATTGTATTAATTTAACACATTTTTTGCTATTAAAATGCAAACAAAAACTTGGAAACCATTGCAGTTTTTTTTCATTGCACTATTAGCATCATAGTGCTAATAGTACTATTTTTAGCCTGCCTGAAGTTAGATGTTTGATTAGACCCAACGGAAAGTTGCCTAACCCCCAAACTCCCCAAAACACGTTTTATGAGTACATATATACAACCTCGTTTCCAAAAAACTTGGGATGCTGTGCAAAATGTAAATAAAAACAGAATGTGATTATGTGCAAATCATTTAAACCTTACATTTAATTGGAAATACTACAAAGACAACAAATCAAGTGTTGAAACTTAGAAATTTTATTGTTTTTTGAAAGATACATGCCCATTTTGAATTTGATGCCAGCAACATGTTTCAAAAAATGGATGGGTCAACAAAAGACAGACAAATTTGTGGAATGCTAAAAAACACCTGGTGGAACCTGATTGAGTACAAAAAGAGCATCCCAGAGAGGCTGAGCCTTTCAGAAGTAAAGATGGGGAGGGGTTCAGCACTCCGAAAGACTGCATGGGAAATCTCTGTATGCAAGGGACAAGGCCGAAAAACGATATTCGCTGGCCGTGATCTTCAGGCCCTCAGGCAGCACTTCGACTATTTCAGAGATGATTCTGTAGTGAAAATCACTGCATGGGCTCAGAAACACCCACCGTGTAAAGAAGACGCCATATATAAACAGGATCCGGAAATGCCGCCGCCTTCTCTGGGCTTGAGCTGATTTAATATGGATTGGGGTGAAATGGAAAAGTGTCCTGTAGTCTCACAAATTAAAGTTGGAAATTGTTTTTGCAAATCATGGACACTGCATTCTCTGGGCTAAAGAAGAGAGGGACCATCCCACATGTTGTCAGCACACAGTTCACAGTTCCGTGATGGTGTGGGGGTGCGTTAATGCTGAACGATATATACACAGGTTTATTTGCTGCCATACAGATGACGTCTTTTTCAGGAAAGGCCTTGACAGTGCCAAAGCACATTCTACACATATTACAACAGCATGGCTTAGTAGTAAAAGAATCTGGGTGCTAAACTGGACTGCCTGCAGTCCAGACCTGTCATTCATTGAAAACATTTACCGCATTATGAAACAAAAAATATGACAAAGGAGACCCTGAAACTGTTGAGCAGCTGAAATCTTATTTCAAGCAAGAACCGGAAAACATTTCACTTTCTCCTCAGTTCCCAAACGCTTACGGAGTGTTGTTTCTTTTTTGAAATGTGTTGTTGGCATCAAATTCACAGTGGGCATATAATTTTTAAAAAATAAAAAATTATTAGTTACAACATTTGATATGTTGTCTTTGTATTATTTTAATTAAATAGAGAGTTAAAATGATTTGCATGTCATTGTAATCTGTTCTTATTTACATTTTGCACAGCGTCCCAACTTTTTTGGAAACAGGGTTGCGTTGTGTGTATATTTTACTATCTGGTAACAACACTGTGATTTCATAAAATAGCGTAAATCTATGATGACACCACAATTGTCACCTGACAACACAGATATAGCTAGTAGTTATGAGCTAATAGTGTGTACTATGCAGTGGGACTAAAAAGAGAGCAGTGTGCCTTAAATGTAAGGAATACTGGAGTATTTAAAGAAAGCCTAAAGCTAATAAATTGCAATTTAGCTGTTTTGTATTTTTGTTCCTAGTTTGGTCCCCAAAGACAAACACTTTGGGCCCCCCTGCTTTAGGGCTATATATGAATTCAAATTAGATAGTAATTCAAAATAAACACAATCAGTTGGTTTTTATACTGTGGTCAAGCACTGTTGAATATTCTAGGCTAACTCTATGTACAGTAGTGTGTAGGCGTAACCTCTTCTCTTCTTGGATTAAATGTCCCAATAGTGATAGATTGTTAGAACATCTGTTAGGTTCTCATGAAAGCACCTGGTGCAGTGAAAATGTGCTTTAACTGAAGAATTAAGAGCCAACTGAGTAAGTGTAGCATTGCACTTCAAACTAAAATTAGCAATATTATGACCTATAATGAATTGTTTTTGTCTGTAGCTTACATTGTTAACATCTTACTCTATTTTGTAATTAACTAAATAAAATATTGCATTGTGTTTTATAAAAACTAATAAGCAGACTGATGTTCAGAGATCATTTAGAAAATCTTTGTTTCTTTCTCTTCCACTCTGTATGCGTTTTGTATGTTCTGAAGTAATAAGATCACAGATATTTGAGATTAAAATATCTGATGTCACTGTTGGAATAAAAACCTTTTTTTAATTCTTTATTTTAACCATTTTTTTATTTTTAATTTGATCCAAAATAACTAATATTATATTATATTATATTATATTATATTATTAACAAAACTGTGTTCCATTGACTTCCATTAAAAGTTTAGAATGTTTTTCTCTTTTCTTATGAAGTTGCCATTTTGGGGATTCAAGGTTTCGTCCTACTTTGTGTCGTTAACTGATGTTTGTTCATTACTTATTGCATGTACTATTATTATTATTATTATTATTATTATTCATGTGTGTTGGTAAAACCTGCTGGTCACCCATGTTTATCATTTATTTATATATCTTTATATATATTTATCATGGTCAACCATGATCGTCATTTAAGAGACGTGCAGCCATAGAGATGACCTCTGCGATGGTCAGTTGAGAGCAGGGTGACAATAGCGATGACCTCTGCGAGGGTCCGAGTGGCTTTAGAGCTGTCAGAGAATGGACAGCTTAACTTACGACCTTAGGTCAGAGGTCAACCTGAAGTCAAAACTCCTCACTGACCAACTAAGTGTGAATAACGTTTGGAGAGAGTGTGCGTTTGTGTTTCCTTAAATCTTATGTTTGTGTTTAAAAAAAATGCATCTGTTGCAAATTTAAATAACTTAAAAAAATCGCCCAAAATGTTTAGTGCTGGCTGACCCTTATGTAATGGTCAGATAGGGGCAACATTTTTGAATGTCAAACAGGACTAAAATTGAACATAAAAGTTAATTCGTTCAGCCTAATGAGAAACTGTAGAACAGACTCAGTTCATATCACAATACCTACATTTAGAGTCAGTTATTCATTCAGCCTAATGAGAAACTGTAGAACAGACTCAGTTTATATCACAATACCTACATTTAGAGCCAGTTATTCATTCAGCCTAATGAGAAACTGTAGAACAGACTCAGTTTATATCACAATACCTACATTTAGAGTCGGTTATTCATTCAGCCTAATGAGAAACTGTAGAACAGACTCAGTTTATATCACAATACCTACATTTAGAGTCGGTTATTCATTCAGCCTAATGAGAAACTGTAGAACAGACTCAGTTTATATCACAATACCTACATTTAGAGCCAGTTATTCATTCAGCCTAATGAGAAACTGTAGAACAGACTCAGTTTATATCACAATACCTACAATTAGAGTGGGTTATTCATTCAGCCTAATGAGAAACTGTAGAACAGACTCAGTTTATATCACAATACCTACATTTAGAGTCGGTTATTCATTCAGCCTAATGAGAAACTGTAGAACAGACTCAGTTTATATCACAATACCTACATTTAGAGCCAGTTATTCATTCAGCCTAATGAGAAACTGTAGAACAGACTCAGTTTATATCACAATACCTACAATTAGAGTGGGTTATTCATTCAACAGCAGGTGACTTTGGATGGATTAATAACAACAGTGCCCAGCAGTATCAGTGTCACTAAAAGCCCTGAAAACCTATTGTTAATTAACACCAGGCCTGTTTGGTCTGCGCACTACTGCAGCTGATCCTGAGGGTAAACACTGTTTGGTTAAATGCGTGTCAACCTCGCACATAAACGGCTAACACAGCTTCCTGATCCCAAAGCCAAACTCGCTAAACAGGCTCATGTGGACAGTTGCCTGCTCTGCAGTCTGAAACCTTTGTTTAAACAGCAGGGTTAAGCGCTCGGCTCCCATTAGCGTTTCCTTTTTTCTCTTTAACAGCTTTTTTGTCTTTGCTGTGTCCATAAACCACAGTTTAAAATGTAGAATTCCTCTTTCTATCAATACAAAGCCAAAGCTTGTTGCAGGTGGATACATGAATAAATTATTATGACGCTAGTACTCAACTCAAAAAATAATTAGTAAAGAGCTAAGTTTAATTAGTAAAAAGTAATTTTAAATGAAGAGATGTTAAACATGTCCAGAATGATGAACAGAGCTGCAGATTAAGCTGTAGAACATCCAGAATTTCTAATAAAGTCATATCCTGAATGAAGCTCTAATAAAAATCTGAAACATGACCTGACTGGTTTGGCTAAGATAAGTAGGCTAAAAACACTTTACATGCTGCTCTAATCATGAGACCTGTTAAACTTCCAGCTCCAAATGTGAAGCTTTGTCTCTGTTGCGCTGCTGTTTGGCCAGAAACTTATTAAAAAACTGCACATTCGGTCGTCAGAAGGAAATGGCAAAGAATACACTAACAAAAATGTATATTTACATTAAGCTTATTGCTCAGATGTAGAAAAACCATTAAGCCACCAAAACCCTTAATGTGACTAAAAAACAATGTTAATGAAAGACAGTAATTCAAAGAAAAAGCTTCCGACATTTGAGAAAATTTGGGGAAACTTTGTCACTTTTTGAGCATATAAGCTTAGACTTATACTGTGATGACTGATCGACTGATTCACTACTACTGAGAAAAGAAAAATGGCCAAAAATGACATGGAAAAAAATCTGGTTCCACTGACTTACATTAAAAGTAAAGAAGGCTTTTTCCTTCTCCTGTAAAGTTAGACAACCTTTTGTTCCGACAACAGCACAACAGTAAAATACACACACACACACACACACACACAAAAAACAAGTATCTTTAAAATAGTAACGTTATGTAAAGATATTTTATTACGTCATTTTAGTCCAATCATGAAATTTGAAGGGCAGCTTTTCTTTCGATGGCGACTATGTATGTATGTGTATATATATACACACACATAATAATTAGTGCTACAGTTATAATTAGT